CCCCCATAATTAATACACACCCCCCATAATTAATATACACCCCCCAATAATTAATTCACCTTTTAATTAATTAAATAACATTACATAAATTACATAAACACATAAATTACTACTCACGTTTTGATGATGCCTTCCCTCCGAGACCGACCACTGGATCCTTGCGCTGAAGATCCGTGAAGGCGGACTGACGATGGTGCTGCGTGCGGCGTCATCACGCCGCGTCCGCGTCCCAAAGACTCCTCCCTCTTCTCAAAGGTGCGGCTGAGCGCAGCGTGATGATTGGGGCCGGGGGGGTGACACATGACACTTGAAGTCATGGCACCCCCCTGGACAGTGGCACCCGGGGCGGGCCCCCCCCCGACCCCCCCCTTAGTACGCCACTGCACACACTGCACCCTTAACACTCACAGCACATACACTGCACCCCTGACACTCACAGCACCCTCACACACACACTGCACGTCTGACCCTCACAGCACACACAAAATCTACCCCTAACACTCACAGCACCCTCACACACACACACACTGCACGTCTGACCCTCACAGCACACACAAAATGCACCCCTAGCACTCACAGCACCCTCACACACACACACTGCACCCCTGACACACAGCACACACTATGCACCCCTGACACTCTCAGCAGCCTCACACACACACTGCACCCCTGACACTCACAGCACCCTCACACACACTGCACGTCTGACACAGCACAAACAAAATGCACCCCTAACACTCACAGCACCCTCACACACACACTGCACCCCTGACACGCACAGCACACACACTGCACCCCTGACACGCACATCACACACCCTCCCTCACTCACACACACTGCACCCCTGAAACTCACAGCTTCCTCACATGCATACAATGCACCCTCACACACAGCTTCCTCACATGCACATAGCACCCTCATGCAAACACAGCACCCACTCACACACAGCACACACACACTGCACCCATCACACACACAGCAACCTTACCCACATAGCACCCTCACGCAAACACAGCACCCATCACTCACACACACACTGCACCCCTCTCTCACACACACTACACCCCTTACACACACACACAGAGAAACCTCACACACACTGCGCAATATGCTTTCCTATGGAGACACCAGAGACAAATTTCAAGCAAACACAGTGCAAGCATGTTATTACATTTGCTTGCGCTGTGCAGAACAAATACAGGGTATTTTTCTCATGCCAGAGCTCTTCAGCAGAGCTCTGCGCATGGTCTACCCTGGAAGAGCATTGAACCAACATGCTCACTTTGTGATGGGGCGTGCTTGTCATTGGTGATGACAAAACACACCTTATCTGGCCCCGCCCCCTTTTTAGTGGGCTGCTGTAATTCAAAAATGCCCGGGCTGAATTTTCTTCCCAGTCCGGCCCTGATTATTAGGGACAAATTCTCATACCAAACTAAGTCTACGATAGCCACCTGTGCATGATTGAGAAAGTTAGCAGAGAAGAAGTTAAGAGTTATCAAGTAAACATAATGTGCTGACTGAAAATGAAACTTTTATTTTATGGAGGCTATGTGAGTCAAAGCCAGGAGAGGTGTGGCTATTAACAGACACATACGTGATTTAACTCCTAAATGGCAGGAAATTGAGCTGTGAGACTGCAGCGGCATTATTTATACATTAAAAATGGCTGTATGGTGAGGCTTAAGTTGTTTTGGTGCTCAGACTGTCCCTTTAAGAAGTCTAACAAGAGACTCTTTGTATATCCCTTCCCAGAATCTCTGGCTTTAGTGTATTAAAAAAAATTAATGTTATGTTCACAAATAAATTTGCTTCAACAATATCCAGCTTGCCGAAACATAACTTGTCTATGTTTACAAAATAAACGTTTCAAAAAGGGACACATCAAAGGAAACCACATAGTGTATGAAACAAAGATGCTATGGAACAAGTCCCAGGAAATGAGAAATGGGTGTTTATTTGGTTTTAATCTAATCTGAGCAAAAACTGTATTTTATTCCTTCAGATTATACCACATCAATGTAAAATGTACACTGCCTATTTACATTAGAGATATCAGGAATGAGCTGTTATTTCCTGTACTAAAACAGTATATAACTGTTTACAGCTCTCACTCACACACAAACATACTCTATTTCTCTCTCTCTCTCTCTCTCTATATATATATATATATTTTGTGTTTTTTTTATTAAAAATTAATTAAATAACTGCTAACCTCCTGCTATGTCCCCTTTTAAAGGTAAATTGAGAAAGTCGCCAATTTTCATAAATTACATTTAATTAAATCAAACACCGGGAAAATTGGGAGCAACTTGACTAGATTTTTCACTTATCCAGATGAAAAATTAATACTTGGTGCATCTCAGTAAATATTTGAGGTTACAACATTATTATTACAATTTTTTATTTTTTTTTAGATATGAACAGTTAATTATCTAAATATTTAATGAAGGGGGCTGGGCTTACAATCTGAACTGAACAGACTCATCTCGTTCGAGCACCAGCATATTGCCAAGAAATCACAGCAAAAATCTGCAACCTTAGACTTCTAGCTGCTTTACGCAAGCTCTCTAAGTGAAGGACTACCTGTCCTGCAGATTTCTTGTTTGGCTGGATGGGCAAGAAAGTTCGCTGCAGATCTATGGCCTACATCGGCTTCCAAACTCCAAATGCCCAGTCGCTGGGTACTGTTTGGCCAGCAGGGCACAACAAGACAAGTGACACAACTATATGGGTTTTAGATCGCAGCAGCTGCAATTAAAAGTCGAGACGTTAAGATGGTGGCCATGACTGATCCTGAGGTTGGCTCCACATGTTTAGACAAAACCTTTGAGGAACCCATAGACTCCCAAGCCCAGAAAAGCACTTTTGATGCCATGTCAAACACTAAGGCACAACCCCCAACAGCTAAGCAGAGCGTTCAGGAACCTCTGATCAATAGTAAGCAAATGTTCTCAGCTGGCATAGACCATGTCAAGGCAGAAGTTCAAATGGTGACTGCACACATACAAGCATCTGAAGAAGTCATATTAAACACACAACGTCAAGTGACTGGCATGAGAGAAGACCTTTGCCAAGTCCAATCATTTCGAAACTAACCTGGCACAGAGACATGACCAACTGGATGACCGCAGCAGGCAGGCCAATCTCAAGATCATTGGTATCCCTGACACTATTGATTTGGCTGAACTGCCCCATTACCTCAGGCACCTCTTCACTGGGTTATTACCTCCTAACCAAGCTAAAAAAGTCAGGATTGATGGATTCTGTAGGATAAATAAATTCTCACAGGCCAGACGGAGACAACCTCTAATAACCCTACTGGACACAATAGGACACATTTGACCAACAAGACAGCTTACCCGAGCACACCTTACTACACGACCATACACGCCCTTTAATAACCCTCATATCCCCCACGAAGCACAGTCCAATGCTTCAGAAAGTTACCATGAAAACCTCCAATAAACCGAATTCAGCCTACAGCCTATAAGTATAACAATTCATAATAGCAACCTGAGCACCCTCTTGACTAAATCAGCTTGATGTACACATTTACTCTAAGTTTCTGTATACTAACATACCACTGTTTAAATGTTGACCATTCAAATTTTGCCGGGACCTGCGTGTCCGTTATTTCCTATTTGATTGTCACAGCTATGAGTTGATTGCTCAAATTTTGCTGGGACCTGCATGTCCGTTACACTGTATTTTACTGCTGCAACTAATAAACAGCTTTGAGAACAAAAAAAATTTTCACAGGCCCCTTCTTCTGCCTACAAGGATGCGATTTTTAGGTGCCGGTGGCTCACTGATGAAAACTGCATCTCAGTTGCTGTGCGTGGTAAGACTCCCTATAATTTGTAATCTGCTATTCTTACCTTCTTCCAAGATCTATAATGGAAATGGACTGTAAGCCCTATTACTAACTAACTGCAAACCACAAGTAAAGCCTACAGATGGTCGACATTGCGATCTCTCACTGTGATAAAGAACAGCTACACTCTGTAGCTAACATCTATGACAAAAGCAACTCCTTTACTTCAAGCCTTAAGACTCTCACAAACCTGCCCACGTCCACCAGCATCACCCATTCAACATGTTTGGGACCCGTTTGTTCCTAGATGATATCGAGCATTGGCTGTAGTGACCTGAGCATCTATGCACCTCCCAGCATGTAATTGTTTCTTTGTCATTTCCATATAGTTATTATTTTGTTCAGTTTGACTGCACGTTAGAAATGTGGCTAAGTCAAAAGAATAGTCCACAAAGTTGAGAGATGTTATAATCGCCCTTCACAAGCAAGGAACAGGATACAAAAAGATAGCAAAGGCACTGAATGTTCATAGAGACAAAGATAGAAGCATTGTTCGGAAGTTCAAAGTTGAAAGAACAGTGGTTACACTACATGGACGGAGCAGAAAAAGGAAGTAGTCAATGGCTGCAACCAGATTTCTAAGAAGGCAGGTTGTAAAAAACACTTGAGTGTCTGCAAAAGTCTCCATAAAGCTTTTTAAATGACAGAAAAGACTTCCTTTTCATACCCTATACACTGATCAACCACAAGATTAAAAACCCTGTCTAATATCTTGTACAGTCCCCGTGCTGCCAAAACAGTTCTGATGCATCAAAGTATGGACTCCACAAGACATCTTAATGAGTCCTGTCGTATCTGACACTAAGGCACTAGCAGAAGATCCTTTAAGTCCTGCAAGTTGCTAGGTGGGCCTCCATGGATCGGATGTGTTGTGACGGGACATTTTACAGATGCTCAATCTGAGTTAATCCACATGATCCATATGTAACTTTTCCTATTTACAAATCAATGGACCCCCCCTTGAATATTGCAGAACTAGAGAAAGTTCAGAGGTGAGCTATAAAACTAGTAAAACATTAATTATGTTGATAGGCTAGAAAAACTGGAATCTTTTTTTTCTTAAGAAAAAAGGTGCCTCAGAGAGGATATGATAGCTCTATACAAATATAGACAGGGTCAGTACATAGCGCTATGTGCCAACCTGTTCATTAGAAGGAATATATAACAGACAAGAGGTCACCCATTGAGACTGGAAGAAAGGTGTTTTGCTTATAGCAGGGGAAAGGGTTCTTCACATTAAGAACAATAAAGATATGGAATTCTCAACCTTAAGAGGTGGTGTCACCAGATTCTATAGATACATTTTAAAAAGGCTTGGATGCTTTATTGCATAAAAAGCATATCCAAGAAAATAAGTGATGTGCTTGTAAACACGTTGCTGATCCAATGAGAAATCAGATTGCCATTATGAAGTAAAAAAAGGATTTATTTTCCCATAATTGGAAAAAACATCAATCACTGTTTTTTTTTTTGCCTTATTTTGGATCAACAGCATAAACAAACAGGCTTCCTAGTTGAAATGGATAGACTTTAGTCTTTTTTCAATCTAGACAACTGTGTGACTCAAAATAAATTCATATACATACTTGTCAAAATCCTCATATACCTAGGACATTAATTAATTTTTAGAAGTTAATGCTAACCCTATGCTTACACTAGCTCTAGCCATATGCCTACGATAACCTTACCTCTGACCTTAATCGTACGCTAGCATTAACCCTAAAATAGCATTAGCCCTAATCGAGTATTAACCCTTACGTTACCCAAGACTAACTCTAACCCTACCCCAACCCTAATGTTAACCCTAACGGATTCCCCTTGCTAATATCAGTACTGATATATCAGCAGTGGGATTTCTTAGCTAAAACAGTATGCTCACTTTGCACACAGCTCATCTTGTCAGTTTGGAGCTTCTAAATATGCATGTTATAGTAATCAGGATTTAAATTCCAAATTGAAGGACTATGTGCATTACTAACTTTGAGTTCTGCATACAACCCATCTGTCACTCTGTGGCCACTAAATATGACCCCAGTTGGCAGAAGTCAGCTCCAAGTAACAATTTGTAACTGCATCTACCAGATGTGAGCAACTCTGCTCACACTAGAACTTTAGGGCATGCCAATATGTCCAAACAGCATTAAAGACCAGGCTTTGTGTGATATAATGACATGTCCTAACATCATTAAAGGAACACCATAGGGTCAGGAACACAAACGTATTCCTGACGCTAAAGTGTTAAAACCACCATCTTGCCCTTCCCCTACTCCTTCCCCCGGCTCCCTCTTGCCTCTCTAAATATAGTAAAATCTTACTTGTATTCAAAAAAAGTTGGTGTGGTTGTTTCAAGGAGCACAATATGATGATATTTGAACAAAAATGAGCTGCATGGTCTAGTTGACAGAAAGAAACCTTTACTGCACCAAAGCCACAAAAAAGCATGGTTACAATATGCCTGACAACACCTTGACATGCCTCACAGCTTCTGGAAAACTGTAATTTAGAGTGATGAGACCAAAATAGAGCTTTATGGTCACAGCCATAAGCGCTATGTTTGGAGAAGAGTCAACAAGTCATATAGTGAAAAGAATACCATCCCCACTGTAAAGCATGGTGGTGGCTCACTGATGTTTAGGAGGTGTGTGAGCTCTAAAGGCACAGGGAATCTTGTGATTGATGGCAAGATGAATGCAGCATGTTATCAGAAAATACTGGCAAACAATTTGCATTCATGTGCACGAAGACTGTGCATGGGACGCTCTTGGACTTTCCAGCATGACAATGACCCTTAGCATAAGGCCAAGTTTACTCTCCAGTGGTTACAGTAGAAAAAGGCGAAGGTTCTGGAGTGGCCATCACAGTCTCCTGACCTTAATATCATCGATTAGTAGATATACCTCTAGATAAAAAATAATCTAGGGTACGCTGAGACACTGAGACAGTTTTTTACTCTGCAGTTCCAGGAGCCAGACACAATGTCACACTGCCAGACTCATTTAAGCTCCACCACATGTGAGTTGACACTTGAACCTACGTGTTGTGTATCCTTCCTAAATACTGCGCTTTGGCTACATTTTGGCTTTTCTGTATCTCTGCTCTCTTTTATATGGTGTTTATGAAGAGAAGCTACTATCAAGAATCCTATTAAGGAGATTTGTGATAAAAAAAAAAAAATATTGTCTGGGACATTATATTATATCCAATACATTATTGTACAACCTGTATGTGCCATTTTTTATTGTTTTTCAATACCTACTATTATTATTTTTTTTTTTTTGCGCGTCCTGTATTCTATTCTATAAAACTGTCTTTTCTATTTTGTTCAAGATTTAAATTGATTTATTAGACAAACAATAGTCATTTAGGGTAGATTGGAGTGGCCTGACAGCATCTGTTATACAGAGTTAGACTACTAGGTTGTGTAGTTTAGGCTAACATAGTTCATTAAACTGAATTTTTAGTGTGGCCTGCAGCAATAGTACTATTACTAGATTTGCTGTTTCTGAAACAATTAAAAAATTTCTCTCTCATTCTTTTATCTCTACCGATTATGAGAGAGTGTTTTATATTTCTCAATCTCACTGTAACGTCTCTCTCTTTAGTCTCTCTTTATTAGTGTAAATTAGATCAATGCTTAACGCAAATGTTGGTTGCAGTGAGGCTCATCACCCGCACCACCCACACCCACCCCCATGTCAGTCCCTACATTGGCTTTCCGTAGGATGTAGGACTCAATTTAATATTCTCATGCTTGCTTACAAATCTCTACATAATGCTTCTCCGACTTACTTATCCTCCCTAATACACAAGTATGTCCCGTTTAGGCCCTTGTGCTCTGCCGAAGAACTACGTCTATCTGCTGATCGTTCTCTCATTTCTGAAGCTAGTCTTCAAAACTTCTCTAGGGCTGCACCATTCCTGTGGAACTTCCTTCCCTTCTCTGTTAGAATTTTACCCAGGCTCCATTCCTTCAAAATATCATTGAAAACTCACTTTGTCAGGAAAGTGTTATTTGCTTTTCTTCCCTGTACCTTGCTTCCTCTCCTGCAAAGATCATTAAAGAAAATACGTATTCAGTGAATACTATTCTAACAACCTAGTTTTCTACCGTTGATCTTTGTGTCACTATACCCCACTACCTCTAGCAAGCTTTTTGAGCAGGGCCCTCAACCCCTGTGTTCTTGTGCGTCAAACGTGTGCTTCCAATTGCATGTTTGTTAGTCCACCAATTGTACAATGCTGTTAAATTTGCGAGTGCTTTATAAATAATAATTTGTCACTTGCAGAGTTGTGATAGAGGCCTTTGTTTAGGCTACTGGTCAGTCTGGGCATTTCACTACAGATTTATGCTCCTTGTGGCCACCTTGATCTGAAATCAGGAGCCCGGTTGGGCCTTCTGGCCCTTTAATAGTGCACTGGACCGAGTTCCTGCATTAGTTTCCCCCTGTGGCTTACTGGTAGGAGGTGAGCTCAGGTCACTTCCTCCCAGCTTGCTGAGAACTATGTGGGGAGGCAGGAGCAGGAACACATGCAGAATGTAGGGGGAAGACATGGAGAAAAAAGGGAGCTTGACTTGAAGAAGAAGAGAGGAATGTGGGTGCAGCCAGAGACTGAGATGTTTGCAACTCTCTGCACCAACGGTTGTAGTACCTCCACAACACATGTGACTGGATCATCTGATTTTTGGGTAGAGGTGCTTGTGTCTATAGTTGGAACCTCAGAAACATCAAGTACCATAAAGGAGAGTAGTGCCTCTGAAATACCTCTCTGAACATTCTTTGCCCCATACAGTTGACCCTCTTAGCTAATGGGATGAAAAGAAAAGTGTGTGGGCTGCACTCCCTCAGGTTGTCCAGGAGCTCTTGTCATGTCCGCCAACCAATATCCAAGGTGAGCGCATGTTTTCCGTAACAGGGAATATACTGAATTCTCAGCGTTCAGAAATGTCACCTCATTATATGCTGCAGATTGCCTTTCTGAGGTTTAATCGACCCAAGCTGGGGTTCCATTCTTTACATTTTGATTTTAATTTAGGTTAAGGTGTCTCTTAAGCTTATATGTGTGAAAATTCAGAAACAAAGGTGTGTGTACTGGAGGTTAAGAGAAACAGAAACCGTTGTCAATTAGGTCAATAAGTGGATGTCCTGTCCCCACACTGCAGTGTGTCAATGCCAGTTCTGCCAGTTAGGTTATTCACTAAAGTGATTACGAAGTTAATTTTACATTTATAGCCAGAGTAGCTGAACTGAAAGCATAGCTTTGAATTATCACATGCTCACATTAGTAAATAACCCTATTAGTTTTCAGTTTTATCTCTTTCATTCTTTCTTGTTTGTTTTTCCCCTTCTCTCCCAAATTTCCTTAAAAGTGGTTTGTTGCTCCCCTCTGACTGTGCCTGTAGTATGGCAACGCCTGCTACTTGCTTGTCTGGCCAGTGCCGGTATTGCAAAAATAATGGCAATGCAAAGACAATTATTGTTTTCTGGCGGGATTCTAGGAGAGTGGTGAGAGAAATGAAACCAGAACATCCATCTCTATTATACATGGCAGGTACACTCATTGCAGTACAAACACAATGGCAGCCTCCACGCAGACACTGTGTAGGAAAAAAACACACATTGCCACACACACTCACATTATGCATACACTGACAAAAAGTAAGACAAAGTACACTGATCAGCTAGAACATTAAAACAACCTTCCCAATGTCAGGCCCCCTCAGGCTTCAAAAATGCTGTGATACTTTGAGGCATGGAATCCACAAGACCTCTGAACTTTTCCTGTGGTTGCTGGCACAGCAGATCTTTTAAGTCCTTCAAGTTCCAAAGTGGGACTTAATCTATTAAGATCTAGGGAATTTGGAGGCCCAGGTAACACCTTGAACTCTTTGTCATCTTCCTCAAACCATTCCTGAAAATGTTTTGCAGTGTGGCAGGGTGTATTATCCTGCTGGAAGAGACCACTGCTTTCAGGGAACACCATCGCCAAAAGGGGTGTACATGGTCTGCAACAATCTCTAGGTAGGTGGAATCTGTCAAAGTAACATCCACCTGAATGTCAGGATCCAAGGTTTCCCAGCAGAATATGGCCCAGAGCATATTACTTTCTCTGCTGGCCTGCCTTCTTCCTATAGTGCACCCTGCTGTCAACAAAGCACATGCAACAGGCTATCCACCTGATCTAAAAGAAAGCATAATTCATCAGTCCAGACAACCTTCTTCCATTGCTCCATGGTCAGGTTCTGATGCTAACATCCCATGAACAGGTAAGAGATCTCTAATATCTCTCCTACCCCGCAACCACCTCTGTTTTTCTGTCAGTCCTTCATGCCCACTACACCAGCAGAGGTTTCTGCTTTTCTTCGGTCCTCCAGCCTCACCACTTGTTCTCTTGATCCTATACTCTAACATTTTACTTGCGCTCTGTCTCCTTCTTCTGTGGCTGCTTCTGTGGCTCTGCACCTCACTTCAATTTTAGCATATTTCCTTTACCCTTTAAGCACGTAACCATCACCTCAATTCTAAAAAACCCCAACCTTTACCCAGGGCCAGAGCAAGGATTTTTGCCGCCCTAGGCAAAAGAAAGATTTGCCGCCCCCCTCCCACCCACCCCCCAGTGCCATCGCAATGCCCCAACCCATATGTTCTGTCATATGAACTAACGCCAGTGCTGCACACAGTGTGTGTTTACATTAAAAAGCCTGCAGGGACAAACTATAGACACCAGAACCACTTTATTAAGTTGCAGTGGTTCTGGGGACTATGGTGTCCCTTTAATGTGAGGTAAATTAGAGATTAGTGTCACTAATAATATACTAGATTGCCTACTTACTATAAGGATGGTGATGGGTTCTGGCTGCAGTCTGGCTCCACTGGTCTGGTGTAGAACAGGATCTCTGGAGGCTGTTTGTAACTGTGGTCACAAAATTCAATGTTCTGGGAGAACGGGAAGCAGCTCCATTTTTTGGGCCCCCTTATACAGCTCAAGGTCTGGGCCCCAGGGCCTCACAGTTAGTATGCCAATAAGGCCCACCCATAAGTCCACCTACATGTTCCACCCATGAGTTCGCTCACAGAGAGTGGAGTGTGTAGGGGATATGTTATGTGTTACTGTAGAGGATATAATGTGTGTGCTTATGGAATGTAGTGTATAGGGATACCAGTTTGTGTAGGTGATGCAGTGTGTTTGTGTGTAGTAGAAGCAGTGTGTTTTTGTGTAAGGGATAGAAAGCAGTGTATGTTTGTGTATAAGGGATGTATTGTGTGTTTCTGGTTGTGTGTAAGGGATGCATTGTGTGAATCTGTGTTTGTATGCATAAGGAATGCAAAGTGTGTTTCTGTGTATGTAAGGGATGCAGTGTGTGTGTCTGTAAGGGGTGTGTTAAGTGTGTGTAAGAGATGCATTGTGTTTCTGTATATGTGTAAGAGAAGCAGTGTGTGTTTACATGTGTGTGTAAGGGATGCATTGTGTGTTTCTGTGTATATGTGCAAAGGATGCATTGTCTTTATGTGTAAGGGTTGCATTGTGTGTGTGTGTGTGTGTGTAATGGATCACTGTGTGTTTCTCTGTGTGTAAGGGAAGCATGTTGTGTTTCTGTGTGTATAGGGATGCATTGTGTGTGTGTGTGTGTGTGCGTAGTGTGAAAGAGCTCCCTGTCCTGCCCCCTGTCCTATAGAGCTCTCCCTTCCATTAGAGATCTCCCCTGCCCCTTAGTGGTCTCTCCTCTCCCCTCCCCCACCTCCCTTAGTGGTCTCCTTTTCTCCCCGACTTTCCATTAGTGGTCTCTCATCTCCCCCTTAGTGGTCTCTGCTCTCCTCTGCCCCACCTTTCCATCAGTGGTCTCTCTTCTCCCCCCACCCTCCCCTAGTGGTCTATCCTCCACCCCCCCTCCCTTAGCGGTCTCTCTTCACCAGGGGCGATTGCCCCCCAGGCCGCCCTAAATTCCTGTAAGGCCGGCCGCGACGGGCCGGCCCTTTAAATACTGCAGCCGCCCGAGCGCTCTGTTAAGAGCCTCAG